TGCTTTCCTTCTATTATAAAAATAGAATATATAAGGGATACTTAGTAGATAAAGTTCAATGAGCGATAGTTAGAACACTTGGGGCTTTCAACAAAAATCTTTCATGTTCAATCTTTGGCGTCATTTACTTCGATAAGTGTAGCCAAATAATATCACTACCCATGAGAATTGCACAAAAATATCAAGTATGATTCATAGTCAGTAATATAAATCTGCACTGAGAGAATGAGTTACACTCAATGTATCATCGACAAACAAAATGATAACAAACTGTAATCAGGGAATTTCAATCATATTAGGTGTATTTGTTGATGTCAGCACAATATCCCCGATTGACTGAACATCGAGATGTCAATCCATGGAATGTCAATATAATGTCCTTGCCGTGAGATCTGAAGCTCATGAGGTTCTATCCTTTGGCGTAGCCATAGGTGTATACTACTATGATGTATGTCATTATGTCAAAAAACATAAGTAGTATGTAAATCAATTAAACATTGAAAGGCTGGAGACAGAAGGTTAACAAGATCGAATTGAAAAGAATAGAAGGGGAACTAGAAAAGAATTATGAATTGGAAGAATCATAAAGAGTGTGAAATTTGCCAATGAAAAATTCATTGTATGGTTCTCATATTTCATGAAGATATTCTGTAATTTTATACCATAATACATTAGTTTTCCCTCCATCTGTATTCTCGTTTATTACCCTATCACTATCTAATCAGCTGGTTCATTGTGTAAAATTACAAAATAATAAATGATATATGTAAATGCAAATATAAAAGGAAACTCTATAAACTATAAAATTATTAGATATACTAGGTAATTCAATACAAATCATCATACTTCTAATGTCACCTAATCTTTCTTTGTCAATGGAATATCGATTTCATAATCAGCTTAACTGGGAAAGGTTAACTGAAATAAAGTCAATCAAAATGATATCTCTCTCTCTATATATAAAACAAAGACAAACAGTGTTATTTTTATTTCTCTTGTTACAGGAGAATATACAGGCTTACAATATTAAAACATTTACGATGTATTTGGTCGTATATTCATCATATTATCTATTTATCTATTTATATATATATTTAAATGTAAATAGGGTGAATAACAAAGAAGGTAAACCTTGTATTTCTCACTCCTTAATACACATACACGCATAGATACATGTATATACGTTAAAGACAGAAAGAGGTTCAGAATCTACCACGAAAGCCGTTCTTTACAAAATAAAAAAAAATTTATTAATGATTACAGTGGGTGTGCAAGAAAAATGAAGGAAAAATAAAGACAGAAAGCTTATTGCGTCATAGAGAAAAGATAGAACACTGTGTGTGTGTATGGTTGTATGTATATAAGGAGAACTTAATTTTCAACGTTACCATTAAAACATAGATCATTAGCCTCGGTAATAATTACATAAAAATGGTATGTTCATTAAAAATCATATTTATATTTTACTATCAGAAGGGGTGAGATAGTAACTTACTGACGACAATGGTGGATGTGTCGCTCAATTTCGTGGATTGGTTGAAGTTACACATTAACTGGACGGCTCAGTGGTCTAGTGGTTAAGCGCTCGCGCCATGTCGTGGATGTGCACTGCTGAGGAGTCCCACAATAGAACGAAACGGTCATCCAATGCCTCCAGGTTTTCCATAGTGGTTTAGCTTCAATTGACTCATGATCTCAACTATTGATATTTATATTTTGCCATTTCATAAATTGTGTTCAAGGATCGAATTAAAAAAACTGAATTCAAGGAATAGAGACAGAGAAGTTGATTGGTAATTTGTAGTGCAAAATAGTGTGTGCTATTACCTTATTGGGAAGTTATGACTCTCTATGAAGTCCTCTACCTACAAAGTAAGATATTGACACAGATAGATGGTAATGAGCAAAAACTACGTGATATACGAGCATAGTTTTCAACATAGATCTCATTTTAGATGTACTGGATGATCGTTTCGTCCTAGTATGGCACTCCTCAGAAGTGTGCATCCACGATCCCATACAAAAGGGAGTCGCACGCGAACACTTAATCTACAGATCATTCAGTCGTCATTCAATAGTGACTAACTTCGTGAGGTAACACTTGGAGTTCTAGTGAGAAGTGTTGACCAGGACCAGGAGATCAACCGTGTCGAGTGTGAGGTATTTACTCACTGACGGTAATGGAAAATGGTCGTACAATATCGTGGATTGGTTGAAGTTAGACATTAATTCCATTGGATGTCGGTTGACTGGTCCAGAGGTTAAGTATTGGCGTGTGAGACCGAAGGTATTTGGATGGAGTCCGTTTATTGTTAAATCGTGGATGTGCGCTTCTGATGAGTTCAATACTAGGACGAAACGGCTGTTCAGTGCTTTCACGTTTTTAATGGTGGTCTAACATTGATTGGTTTGTGATCTCAATTAGGCGGTATATTTTATCAAGTTATTAAATAAAAATCTGCTTATCTAATCTAGTTCTTGCCCACTGTTAATGATTAATTATACATTCTAGAGAACATTTCAATTTCGTTTCAGTTTAATAAGTAACACAATGATGTTATTAGAAATGGTGCCGTGCTTTTATTATTGGTATATAAAAAAATTCCTTAGGCAACAAAGTTTTGGATATTTTCTGAACTTGTTCAATACTAATGGTAGCTAGAAGTGCATACACTGTAAATACAAAATGTTTAGTCAGTAATATGGTGTTAATGAGCTTAATGATGAAACAGGAATAAAACCTATGTCTAATCTTCTTGAATTGCCCTATTTTCATTGTAACTTGTTCAGTAGGAGTTGATTATTACTAGGAACTACACAAATATGACATTAAGCAAAGATGTTTAGTGATTAGCAGTGAAATCCAGTTTGATGCACGTTTCACCCGATTTGGGACTCGTCAGGCAACCATTATCCATCATTGCTTAAAAAAGCTTATGACTTAAGGCTATATCGAGGCAATCCGCACACGATGCACATATATACCAACAAGTGACTGATCAATTGCAATCCTAAATAACAATGGGAAGATACAAGTAAAACAACACCAAGTAATATATGACATTAGTTACTGAAATCAGTGATTAGTCTTTGGAAATATATGAAACGTATGTGAAATATTATATAATTTTGTAATCTATAATTAAAAATTGTTTAGTATGAAACTATCATGTATCCATGATTGAAACAAGAGGATAAATTAGGTATCAGTTAGGTGTTTTGAACAAAAAAATCAATATTTTTTTTGGTTTTTATAGATAATTAAAAACTACATTCATGAAAATAGGTCATCTTTAATTAGAATCAGTACTATCATTGTAAATTTTCCTTTAAAAGTACAATATAAGGTCAGACTGTCGTGAAAAATTTTCAGTTATTTTCCAGCCCATTAGAAAATAGCAAACATAAGTTGGATAAGCTTTTTAAGTAAAGATGGATAGTGGCTAGTAGTGGAATCCAATTTAGCGTGTGTTTCGTTCTATTTGAGACTCGCCAACTGAATGTATCGGCATCTCAGAGTTGATGCTCACTCCGAACCCAGTACCGAGGCAATCCGCTTAGGATCCACATATGCCAAAATGAGACTGATCAATTGCAGTCCTAAATAACAATGGGAAGTAAAACAACAAGTAAAACAACATCAAGTGAATTTATAATTCCTGTCATATATCCATTTATGTATTATTTTTATTTGAACACATAAATATTGGTACAAAGGGGCACCGAATACATATACGCGACACAAGTCATTTGATTTGTGTTTGAGCTGTGATACTGCCCGGGTACCCAAACCGAAACAGGTGGTTTTCTTGGGGGGCCACACACGGAGGTTTCGACCTAAAGGTCTGATTCACAAGGCACTGGAGCAACTTCAGGCGATGCATTCCCATGGTAGCCGGTGACCAACAATAGGTTCATACACCATTTGTTCCTTCAGGATACTGGAGCTCATGTGCGCCATTGGTTTGGAATACGGGTTTTCCGATTTCTCTAGGCGGGTCCTTCATAGCCACTAAACCGGTTAAATCGTCGAACATTCGCTTTTCTCGCTCTCAGTCTTGTAAATAACACTCCAGTCGCGAGACTTTCCTCTCAGTGGTTGTATGCACGTGGCAGTGTGGGAGGGTTTCGAGATGGAGAGCTAACTCTCCCCACTCTTGGCCGTACCAGGGCATTTAGGGGCTTAGGGCCCATCCGGGATAATATATATGTATATATATAGTTTATGGCTGGCCATGAAAAACACGTTGGTATTTGGTACGATGGGTGCTGAATTGGAGTTCCCATGTGAACATCAATATAAATACAAGTTCCAGATGGGACGAAACGCACGTCCTAAATTTCACTTCTGGCCATGATCCAAATAGTTTGAAAACTTGTAATTGAATGGAATATCTGGGTAATCCATTCATGATATATGTATGACAATAGAGATTAATCAGTCGCATTCCCTGATAACATGAACAACAATAGGAAAATTCAAACTCATACATATTTTATCCATTTGACTTGTGAATATACCAAATGTGTGATTAAACATGATTACATGTTTTCGTCTTCGTCTGAAAACCTTTTCAGCTAGTGCTCAGTTCATGAATATCATAGATTATCATCAAATCTATTTCTTTAGGATTCAGTATGAACCTACAATACTTACGGAATTAGAAACGATTAATTAGTGTACTACTCTCATACAATCAGTTCTATTTTGTAAATCGATAACAACATCAAACGTACAAAACTTCAAGATTTACTCATTAATACATACAGAAAATGAATTGTACTTGATATTCGAGATAGAACAAGTAGAACAGGATAAAATGGTATAACTTCGTTTATATAATAACTAGAATATGACATTCAGGGATATTTTATACGGCTAACATAAATCATGAATTCGTTGTAAAAGAAAAATAGTCGAATCCGGTTTAAACAAGCTACATATTTTTATTTTTAAAGTACTTAATTCATGTATTTACTCTTTTCTCTTTTGTATCAAGATTATTCAATACATATCGTGATAATAAATATGTATACATGTTATTAGAAGCATGTTTAGGCGGTGAATTATGGACTATACTTCGTGATAGGTAAGTTATTATTTTGTTAATAGTAAATGTGAAAAACAATGAGAGAGATAAACTATATCTATTTTTGTTTGTACTATTTATTAGTTGTGATATTCCGTTGTGTTGTGACTTAAAGTTGTGGTTGATTTCTACCCTGTGCTAATTGTTGTGTCCTCGACTGAAAAAACTAGGGAACAGCGTACTTATCGACCGATTCAATGACACGTAAACACGTACGAACGTAATGGACGACCTAGAGTTACGATTGGTCCCGATTCCCTGTCTATCCCAGCCAGTTGAGTCCAGAACGCAAGTCACAGCCTCTGAGTTATGAATCATTGTATTTCAGACATACTCTATTTATATACTAACCAAACATACCACATCGTACCATAAAAATAGAAAACAACATTTTGTACCATATTCAACAAGTGGACAGATATCGACCAGTAGGAAATGTCCATTTAAAGTCCAAGGACACCATTGGACTTAACATGATAATTATTGGTCTATCCTTCCGCATACACAACACGTTGTTTATGTTTTAGCGTTTGATCACTTTTTATTCTTTTTGTTGTTGTTTTGAAAACTTATTACAGTCTCATTGATATGTTGTATACCGGAATAGTAGAAGTAGTGCAAATTAGGTTAGCGGTAATGAAGAATAAATAAGCATGAAGGATGTTATTCAAAAATAAAGAATGGACAACATTTCTAAAGGAATTTTGAAGATAAGAAGTGAATGCATCTGCAACAATTAAGTCAATCAGTGTCTTCAATCATCATTGGTCATGATAATTGCGCCAACCTCGATCAATTAGTCTGAACTTACCAACAGTCATTGTCAATATAAACTGATAGCATGTCTTAATTTGACACTCTTCGTAACTTACTTTCGATCTATTCTCAAACTAGTCAACATTGGAGATCTAGATGGAAGGTTGTGAGGTTTACATAAGGCATATCCCAGCCACTTCAGTCGATGAAGAGTCGCAATCCTGTTAACCGATTAGTTTTATTCAAAGCCTCTAACTATGGTTTACGATAATTTCACGAACCCCAAGCATTTAGTCTATACCTATCCATATAACTCAGTTCAATAGTCATTGTCTTCATAGACTAATGCCATATGTTGTTTTGAACGTCTCTGGCTTTCTTCCATCCTACTCCTACATCAGCCACCATTGTATGTCAAGGTAGTGCGTAGATGGACATACGTAATGGATGTTCTAATCATCTCAGTAGATAAAGAATCATAACATCACCAGTCGATTGTTCATCTGTTATGATTTCTCTTATTACGACCCAGCTATTTCTATTACTTAGTATTATTGAACACCAATTTATTCGACAAGTCCCCAAATTAGAACGCGGTTGAACAGAAACGAAATTTTGTTCCAAATAACAATGGTAGATGGAAGTAGGAAGTATAATAAGAAAAAACGTTAGTATATTTATAATTTTTACATAAGAAGATTCTACAGTCTTCTCCAAGTATCGACTAGCGCTGATTGCATAAAAAATAGCTAATCAACGCGCCGCAACACAATCTCTCAAGGAACGTGCCTTAATCCAATATATATTCCGCTAACACCATTCTTACCTATTACTCTCCATCTAACCTCACAATAGCTAACTCAATGGTCGAAAAAAATGTTTCGAGGTCACCTGTGATCGAATACTAATAGCCTGCAGCAATTTCTGCTGCAATTTGGAAAACTCTCCCGGTCTCCCACATTGTACGAGCATTCCATATACTTAAATAAATGGTTGCTCTGGTTGTCAGAAGGAGCATCAGATTCTTGACTTCTTAAGGAACTCGGTTTTCATTATCAGGCGTCATAACTCTTCTGAATGAAGACCTTCCGACTCCCAGGACAGAGTTTAAATGGTTTGAATAATTTTTTTGGTTTGCGTTTTTTAAGCGAGTTAGTTTTCTACAGGATGGGGTCGCTAACCTCATGCCCAACCCTCCTCCTTTTATCCGGGCTTGGGACTGGCAGTAGCCCCAGAGGGGCTCATAAATTAGGTAGAGTTGGCAATGTGATGGATACTTTTTTAAAACAACGTTTTAAACGAAAACAAAGCATATACATATTCTGAATGCTGAACTGACAGATTTACGATGTTTCTTTATCAGTAGTATATTCTTAAGCCAAAAAACAAAACGAACTTATTATTTTTTTGGTACCTTTTATTTTTGCATATATGAGTGAAATTTTTTTTCTACCTTGAACAATGTAGTCAAAAGTTTGTCAATTATTTATATTAGAGATTTGGTTTTTGCAATGCTCTTATGGATAGAGCATTCAGCTTTCAACCAAGTAGGTCACAGGTATTGTAGTGAGCAGAACACTGGTGGCGACAATCAAATTGTATTTAGTACAGAGTTACAGAAGAACCATACTGTCATACTTAATTTGCAAAATGTTCAGTAATTGTCTCGAACTTCGTTGTTCTTGCATTTCCATACTAACTGCTTTCTATTCCCGCTCTTCCTTTCTTGATCTTCCCATCTTCCGCCGTCAGACATTACATTCCTGACTCGCGTCATATACTGCTTATATCAATATAAGTAGCACGCACCAAAGTATGAATCTTGTCCTTTTTTGTCTTACTTTAGTTAGGGTAACTAATTAGCATCACTAGTTAACTGTTAATGTACGTTCATCGTATTTAATTCAATATAATGTATTCTATGTTATTATTAATGAACATTGGACTGGGAGAAAGAGTAGCTCTTTTTTTCTTCCGCTTCTTCTCTTTCTAATAGTCATCACCTTGAAGAACGTACAGCAAGATTTTGCTTGGCGTGTTGTATTGAGGCATTGGATTACTTACATCGTCATGGAATTGTCTATCGTGATTTAAAACCAGAGAATATGCTGGTTACATCCAAAGGTTACATTAAATTAGTAAGTTAATTTGTTTATAGATAAATAATTCAGTTTATTTTTTTAAATTATTTTTTACTTGTGGCTAGTATGCTTTATGGATCAATGGTGAATAGAGCTCCATAAGAAATTATGGAACACTGGATAGATGTTTCTCTGTGGTATAAAACTCATCAACAGTTCGTATCTATGACCCTATAATCATCTGTTGCATTCCTGGTTATTCTCTTGCTCCTGAGACTGATGAACCTCTTCGGTTACAACTCCCCACTAGAATTTGGTGTATTCATCTCCAAGCAAACATTCATGGCGTGATTGAGAAATATTAAGATTAATTCCATTTGATTATGGTATTCAAAACAGATTGATATAGGACCTATTAATGCGAAACTGCTGTTCAGTCTTCCCTGATTTCCTATAGCGCCCCAAGTAAAGTTACTGTATGACTTCTGTCGTGTATAAATAATAAACTAATGTCTTCAAACGATTGATTACAAATGCAGATGATATCAAGAAATTAATGTAAATGTATCTTTCAAAGATTTTATGAATCTTGGTAGCACACATATAAACTGAAATAGTTTTACAGGTTGTTATTGATGGCAGAAGGTTGGAGACAGTTGCCAGGGCGTCCTGTTTAACTTAAGTCTTGTTCTAGTTGACATTTATCAACAAGGCGTATTACTTATAATCTTAAAGGAAACCGGTATTTATTTGTAAAGTTCAAACTTAATCATCTTGTTCCACAGTCAGAGAGATGTTACTACTAAGCGGTTCTGGCTATTTTCTAGAATAAATTTAGTCTTAATGATTCATAATGAAATCTTCAGATGTTTGGACATTATCTTCGCTTGGATTGTTGTGGAGAAAGGTTGATTTAATGGGTATTTCTGCGTCTAATCGGGACATCAACTGACGAGTATACATTGTTATTTCCCACAAGATTAAGTATTAATCAATGCGATCTATATTTGGCTTTAAGTACCGATTGAATTATTGAGGGATTAATATTTTGGTCCTAAAGGGAATCAATTTGAATCCAAGTAGCTTAATAGTAGTTTGTTTTTGTTTATGGCACTGGTCAACGTGAATTTGAATTTCGCAAAGTGTATAAGTTCCCTCAGAATTTCAAGCAATACCTCACTTGTTGATGAGTTCCAACCGGCATTGAACCTTGGTGAAATTAAAGCTTTTTTTTGTGGACTATCAATAGATTTTATTACTGATTAGTAATTTTAGAGAATCAAACCATAACTAGTGTACAGAGTGTCATGGTAAACAATTGCATTATTATTATTATTATATTTGTCAATCATTTAGTGTGATTTCGGATTTGCCAAATACATTGGAATTGGTCAAAAAACATGGACATTCTGTGGTACACCAGAGTATGTTGCACCAGAAGTAATTCTTAATCAAGGACATGATTTCGCTGCAGATTATTGGTCGTTAGGTATTTTAACTTTTGAATTACTTACAGGCGCGTAAGTACATATATTATCTTTTTTTGGGTTTAATTAATCATTCTGTATACTAAGATACCTTTTCATATTAATAATAGAATATAAACTGTTGTTGTGTTGGTTTCGTTTATATTCAGGTAACTTTTAGTGACTCTTTATCTGACTCGAATAGGATCGTACAATGATTACTATCAGATTGTACATCCTGACTACTCTCGTATATAATCATCAACTTAAATATGGTTAGTGAATAACGGAATTAAATAAGTCAAATACGAGGATAGATTTCAAATACATATATTTTATACAATCATTGATCCAGACAGACGATCAGAAAAAAACTAAGCGAAGAAGCGAGAGCGATGCGGATCGTAATGAAGCTCAGTGGAATTGGCTCACTCGCCTTCTCCACTGAGTGTCATTTCATTTCGCTTTGCTCTCTCCTCTTCACTTCCTCTTCGTTTCTCTGATTGACTGTCTGGATTAACGATTGTATGAAATATACGTATTCAAACTTCATTCTCATATTTGACTTATTTAATTCCATTATTCACTAATGCGAATTGAGTTGATAACAATATACGAGGGTAGCTGGGATGTATATTTCGATAACAATCATTCATACGATATAACTGGAGTCAGATATCAGGTAACTAAAAACTTTAAAGATAAATGAATGAAATGTAACTAGATATAATTGGTTTAACTGGTTCATAAAGAAGGAACGAATTGAGCTCAATTCGTTCCTTCTTTATTTACCAAATGGAAAAATGAGAATTTTCACTATATTAACTGGGTTCAATTTATCTTATCAATAAATTAGTTAATCGGTAATAATCAACGTAAAACTTATTGCTTAAATGTAGATCTCAGTAATTTGCCACATCACATTAGTATCGCTATGAGTAACAGAAAAGTGGATATTATATTTTTTAAAAAAACGAGGGATGAATCTGTAAGATATGAACCATTCAATAATACTCAAAATCAGAATATCTCGAGGATGATAGTGAATGAATATATCTACGCTAATGTGACTGCACTGGAGTTATGTAATCTTAAAATTTTCAGCGGTTCATCATGACTACTGTGCAAACTCTGGTCAGGTGGATAGTCGGCAGCTGTCAGTATGAGCCAGATTAACAATCACTTATTGATGCCACATTTTATTTTGGACTCCTCTGACTTTATTCCATTCTACTCCTGTTAGTATTGTGCGTTAAGGTAAGCTATGAATAGGTATAAGTGACATAGAGTTTAGCTACCTCAATCATTGACAAACTCATATCCACATCAACTCATTTATAGTTTTTAATTGGTACTTTACACCTAATATCAGCATTACTCACTTATTTTGTGGCTCTATCAAATGTAAAGAATACTTAGAAGACATATATGATCAAATTCAAATTCATAACGTTAAAGTAAGCATGAAGTTAACTGTTATTATTATCATCTGTTGAGGAGTCCCGAAATATCCCTTATCAAAGCCTCCAGAGGCCCAAAAGAAGCCTGAAGATGTTTTATCCAATCAACATTGAATAGAAGCTTTTCGAAAAAATCTAGATAAATGAAGGATTATGTGTTGTGTTTTAATTAGACAAATACCCGTATCGTTACTATGTTTGCTGTGTATGTTTCAAAAAAGTTTTACGAGATCAATTTCGCATGAAACTTTATAAACACATTAGAGTTCATTGCAGATAACTAACTGGGAGTGAAATACTTACTTGCATTTCACACCTTTTTCTCTATGGTTCAATTTGAACTGTAGAATTCATCTGGAGTTATAAAAAGTCAATAATAAGCGTTCCAGTAGCAGACCCTACCATGTTACTCCTTGAATATTATCAAAAATGGTGGAATGAACAATGAAATCGAAAACACTAGGATAGTTTGTAACCGTTTTACCTTAGTGACCAATATGATTTATGTAAAGTCCTTCTTCGTGCAGGTTGAATTCTATCGATCAAATTTCCATGTGACCAGTACTAGTCTAAGTGACTTGACAATACATGTACTACGTTGTAAGTTGGTGGTTGTAGTTGACAGAAAACGCTGCTCTACCTAGATGTTGTGCTGTTTGGCACTTGTCAGCAGAGTGTACCTGTAATTTTAATAAGACTAATGTTCCTTAGTGGATTCGATCCCGTGTCACATAGTTTCACTTGATTGGTAGGGTTCGATCAACACTTAAAAGGATTTGATATTGACTAGTACTCAGTGATCTATCAATCCTACAGGAGGTCAGACATGGTCCAAAACATTCAGTGGTAGCGTTTATGATTATGAAGCCGAGTGACTGGGCATCATTTATCTTGAGATTACATCTTTCTGATGAGTACCAAATAGCACGAAACCTAGATGAAGCAGAATTTCTTGTTGACTACCTCCAACCACTAACTTAAACGATAATAAAAACAAGCGATAGTAATAATAATATCCAAGTCATATGATTATTGTCACATTCTTTTATTACGTTGTTGTATTGACTTGAAAATCATTTTCGTAAGTTAATCAAGCAGTATAAATACACCCAGTATATATTTGTAATATGTCCATGTCTAGGCCCATTATGATTATGACTATTATTTCCGTTATGATTAACAGTATCAGTAAAAGTTTATCAATTACAGTAATAAGAGTGGGTATGTTGTCGTGTAACATATGAAGAAAACAAACAAGAACAAAGAAAATATACAATTCCTTTGTGTATTGTTGTTGTTTGTGGTAGCCCCTCCCTCTTGTTTTTATTTGTTACTGTGGTAGTTGAGGGTGTTGGTGCATGAATGAACGGGTTAGTTGAGTTTTAATGGGAAGATGATGATTCAATATCAGCAGTCTGGATAATATATTGCATAGTGTAACTATGATGAACTACAAATATCATAGTTATAAATTATACAATATCAGAATGATCAATATATATATATATATATAGCTTACATATCACGATGATACATTGATTCGTGCATTTCTGTTGTAAACTTCCTTGTTTAATCTTAAATGGAAAATCAACTCCTCATTCAGTTTTTATACGTTTTCCCTCGTCAATAATATTGGTTTATTGAAGATATATTCTATTCATAGAATGTGAATCAGATGTGTTCATAAAAAGGAACTTGAACAAAATCAATACTTTGTGGATATAGTGGACTACGGGGATAGGGTAAACTATTCAAATGCTCTATGTATTATGATCTCTGTTGGGGCACTTTCTATTGGTCAATATTTTGAGAATTGATATTTTTTACATTTGTGAACATCTAGTATTGTCAAAGCAAATGCATAATTGAGATTGTGATACAGTAAACTAATCGAACTTTGATCTAATGATAAGGTCATGCTACTACCCAAGAGATACATGCTATTGATTGAGCATGTGGCTTACATTTCTAATTGATAAATATGTATTTAAATGTATATACGACTAAGTATACAGATATCTTTTAATTCGGTTTAGCCGATAAAGTTTTTTACTCTCAATCTTCTCATTAAAGTAGCTGGTCGAGCTCGCGCGTAGGAAGCTTGTGTATGAATATCGGAATAGGACATCTCACAACACAAGATATTGTCAGCACTTCTATCTGAGCTTACCTACTTCAGACGAACTATAAGAGTATGAACCGTTGACTAGTCATTTTTCAGTCTACTCTTTTTAACAATATAGAGATTTTAGTATTTTCGCATTTGAAATCACTAGTTGATCTTAGCTAGACCACCCTTAGAAACCTGGAAGCACTAGTCAACTGTTTCATTTTGATATGAGACTATTCAGCAATGCGGATACACGATCCCACATGCGGGACTTGAGTCCGGGACTTTCGGTCTCTTGCGTGAACGTATATCACTTAACCACTTCAGACAATAGATGAAGACTTGCGCAAGATCATGAATTGATTGAAGTTAGACACTAATACCGTTAGATGCCGACTCAGTGTTCTGGAGGTTTAGCGTTTGCATGTGAGACCTAAAGTCTTGGGTTCGAATCCTGCGTACGGGATCGTAGATGCACACTACTGAAGGGTCTCATACTAAGACGAAATGGCCTTCTAGTGCTTCCAGGTTTTCAGTGGTGGTCTAGCTTAGATCGACTCGTGATGTCAACTGTGAAAATACTATTTTTAAATTGATGTCATTTAAGTTCACGTTTTTCGCACTATAGAAATTATGGTCGGTTTTATTGAACTGAAAAAACAATGAGTAAAATTCTAGAAACAATGATAATTAATGGATATGTACTTTCTGTAATTGATGAAGTAATTTCACACAAAATTTCGATCAGTAGGGTCGGACAGTGGGTCGTATTAAGTTTAAAACGATAGAAAACCACTAGCCAACTAACTGATTGTGAAACAAATTCATCAGTTAACTATCTCAAAATAGTAAACCTGTGAAAATCAGATATGTAGCCAACATGATTAATTGTCTATTCATTATTTATCATATGAACTAATGTTGTTTTCCCAAATAAAAAGGCACCTATTTTGAAACTTCAGAATTAAGTAATCAGTAGAAATATTAAATATACCACAATGATTAACTTCCAAGATTCTAACTTATAATGTACTACTGTACTATTGTACTACTGTGTTACATCATAGGTGTTGGTGACAAGTCCTAGCAACTAATTGAATAGGTTATAAATAATTGAAATGGATGAAATTTCTTCCGTACATATCAGATAAACTAATCAATTCATCCAATCTATTATAATTAATCTTAGTTTGTTTAACACATACTCCATGTAAACTGAATTGTATATTAAAGTTTTGAAATGTGATCATTGATGTAAGTGAATTATTATTGGTGTTTTTGTTATGGTTGTATGATAGATAACTCATTCACGAGGTACTTGGCTTATGAGTTATCCTCCAAGTGTTTGGGGGACTATTGATATTACTCTGTTGGCTAAACTGATAAAGTATTGAGATGGATTTCGAATTAGGGCTTTAATATCTGAGAGTTGAATGCTTTAATTATCAAACCACTAAACTAGAAAAGGACAACTCTCGTCAATGAGCAATTATTTTATCTGTTAATATGCGTTCAATCGAAGAATTCGTAAAGGTAATAATTCGGTTTTTATCAATAACAATCACTTAGATGAACTATTTACATCAGTTTCAGTCACTGATTGCACATTTCATACTTATACATTCATCATTTGTCTGCTATAAATATAGTCTTTATTTCATTTGGTGTTGTTTTACTTATATCTTCCCATTGTTATTTAGGGTTGGAATTGATCAGTCTCTTGTTGGTATATATGTGCATCCTGTGCGGATTGCCTTGATATACCCTTAAGTTACAAACGTTTTTAAGCAAAAATGGGTAGTGACTAGCAGCGGAATCCAGTTTGACGCACGTTTCGTCCTATTTGGGACTCGTCAACTGAGTGCACCTGCATCCCAGATTTGATGTCTTTATTATTTAATAATTTGACATTAATACTTTTTTTGTAAATGGATTAAGTAAGGAAAAGAATTTCATCTTTTTTTATCCATCATAACTATTGCATGGATTTATCAGTTGATGAGGAATTAAGATCATGTTTATCTAGTTCTTAGTAGTGACTCAGTTCTACCAATCAAGTTGTAATATAGCCAATAGTCATATGTAAATGATTTGATATCACTTTATGTCTTATGTTTTGATGCAAATTTATGGTCATAGAGAGAATTTACATGAATCTTTATTTTATATATGTTTAGTGCTAGTTTGCACTCGTTAATAAAGATTGGTTGGAATCTTAAAGGAATTGATACTTTTTATAGGGTTTACGCTCTCGAAATGCACAGTGTTCCATTGAAAGATGTCATCTTGGAGCAGCTCTGACTGAAATTAAGGTGTAATATGATATCTATGACCATATCGTTTCTATGTTTATTAAATAAGATATATTGATTAATTTGTATGAATTATTCATGTTCAATCCTTCACTTTTTTCTTCCTCTCATCTGTATACTCCTCGACACAACCACACGCACTCAACACATAGTCCACCGTTTCAAGCATCAGAACCAATTAAAATTTATATGAAAACATTGAAAGGTATCGATGCTTTGGGTTTGGCGCAAAACAAGTATATCAGTTTAAAAGCTTTACAATTTATTCGACGATTATGCCGATTTAATCCATCCGAAAGATTAGGTGTTGGTAAATACGGAATTCAAGAAATACGTAGTCACAAGTAAGTGATGATTATTTTCATTATTGGTGTTATAAAAGTAATTTGACATACTTTCTATTAACGTTGAAGATGTAGACCATATTTGACTACAACTCAGTGGTCCAAAGGTGCTTCGGTCGAAGTGATAAGACCTAAAAGCACTGTGTTTGATCCTTGTGAAGTTAGATAATGAGTGGAGAGTGGTAAGGTGCATTTTAAAATGAAATAGTGCTCAATGGTTTGAAATGATTGTCCAAATGAAGTTAATCCAGATTACACAGTAAACAATCATCCATATTAATTACCAACTTGACATGGAATTTGACAAAAAAGTACTATTTACCTGTTTGTTCTCTCAGTAAAAAGGTGATTGATCTTTTAATTTGATTATGATTTGAACTAAAATTCATGTCCACCAAATGCCCTGGTACGGCCGAGATTGTGAAGAGTCAACTCTTCCTGTCCAAATGCTCTCACATGACCACGTGTATACAACCACTATCAGGGAAGTCCTACCTACTACCTTTTCGTGATGGGAGTGTTGTTTACGAAATTGAGAGGACGAGAAGCGAATGTCAGGCGCTTTAACCGGGTTGGTGGATACGGAGGATCAATCTAGAAGAGTTGGAAAACCCTGATTCCAAACCAATGGTACACATGGGCTCTAGTATCCTGAAAGAACAAATGGCGTATGAACCTATTGTTGGTCATTGGCTATCATAGGGCTGCATCTCCTCCACTATCTCGTGGATCAGACCCCTAGGTCAAAGGCTCCTGCTGTGGCCTCTTAAGAGAAAACCACCTGTTTCGGTCTGGGCACTCGGACAGTATCCCATCCCTTACACAAATATAATGATTTATATGTTTAAATAAATAAATAGATAAATAATGTCATTCTCATATCTCAATTTTATTTAAGAATGTTTAATTTTATGTTCCGCATTTATACACTGTATTGAACTTGTGTAATTACACTTACACAGATAGAAATCATGAGTCAGTTGAAGCTAGACCACCATTGAAAACCTGGAAGCACTGGACGGCCGTTTCGTTCTAGTATGGGACTCCTCAGCAGCGCGCATCCACGACCCCGCACCGCCCGGGGCTCGAACCCAGGACCTACTGGCTTCGCGCGCGAGCACTTAACCATTAGACCACTGAGCCGGCATTCAACGGTGTTAATGTCTAACTTCAACCAATCCACGAAGTTGCGCTACCGTACACCATTGTCCTCAGTGAGTTACTATCTCACAACAGACCTGGTTGAACTCCACTGGTAACGACTTCTCACTAGAACTCCAGAAGTATCTCCTGAAGTCAGTCACTAGTGAGCAGGTGATTATTATTATCAGAATGGGTTTTGTGGAGATTTTAGAAATTTCACAGATAGAAATCATGAGTCAGTTGAAGCTAGACCACCATTGAAAACCTGGAAGCACTGGACGGTCAAAACAGTCTCTTGTGCCAAATTTGTGGGGGGGGGTCACAGAAAAAAACTGTACGATTTAATCTTCAACTTATGAATAGTTTTGTAGGAGGATACCTTTTTTTCAAATGTCTGTTTTCCCGTTGCAGATTGAATAGAACATGGTTATTATACGAATAGTTTGTTTTTCCTGTTATCTGTTTTAATCGCTAATATATATATAAAGCGTTCTTATTGGTCCTATGCTCACCTAACCCGTCCAGTGAAGTCCAGGACCCTAGCAACAGCTTCCATTATGCAAATCGTTTATTTCAAACATACTTGGTTTATATAATAGACAAACAGACCACATCGCACTATAAAATAGGAAATAACATATATATAAAATAAAGCCAAAAGTGGCTGTAAACATGGGAGACTGTAATCAATAAACTGAACATAACTTAAGAACAGTAAATCGTATAAGAATAATCTTTAGGTCAAAATGAAGCTTATAATAAGAGGAATATAGATGTACATAATCTAATTATTGAATAGTTACACAATAGAAAATATATATGTAATATTAGTCCATTAATAGTCCTCAGAAGATAACCATAGTTTAATCTTCACTAGGATATAACAGTTATAGTATTTTCACAGTTGAATTCAAGAGGAGTGGTAGTCCCATACTAGGACATAACGACCATCCATTGCTTCCAAGTTTTCAATGTTGGTCTAGCTTAGATTGACTCATGAATTCATATGTGTAAAGAGATTATATTATAAAACTGATCTGAGATTTCTAAAATTTAGAGAAGATTACGTAATAATTGACGGGTTAAATAGAAAATGAAGGAATGAAAAATAATGTATGGGTTAGAAATATAACATAAATAGTTCTTTAATCAAAGATGGATAGTGGAATCCAGAACGCGCGTTTCGTCCTATTTGGGACTCTTCAGTTGGATGTACCTGCAATAACAATGGAAAGATACAAGCAAAACAAAACCAAGTGAATTTTACCTATTACCATTATTAAGTTATTCTCAATCTATTAGTCACAGTTTCTCACAACCAGAGCCATTTTTGACTTAATCTTGTATAATTGTTATTTCTTATTTATGGTATGTTATGGTCAAGTTGACTTGTATATAAATAGCGTATATCCGAAATATATGATTCGTATAGCAGATATTGATATGGATGTTTTGGACTAAACCGATTAAGTTAGACGAAAAGCTACTATCTCAGTGGATCAATAAGAACTCAAAATTGACTGTGTACTACTCGTACTTGTTTATGCGTCATTATCCCTGGCCATAAGAATATAACGAAACGACAATATTAACTTATACTAACGATTATTCATGATCATTTCAACTTCTCTCTTTTCTAGATATTTCCAAGGATTTGATTGGGCTGGTATAGTTAAACAAACACTGACTACTCCTTTCAGAGTTAAAGTAAGCATATGTGTTGTCAAGTGCTGTCATTATCCGAATATTATTATTATTATACTGTCATTGTTCATCACAATTTTGTTTATGGTTCTTACTTTATGCTCATTAATGAGTGCTTCGATGAAGCTAAAAACAAAATAGAAATATTATGTAAGGATGTCACTATTCAATGCTCACACACACACACACACTTTTCATTGGAAAGTAAACGAATTTGTCTGATCATACTTTTGTATTTTGATTATTCTCACTTATTTGAGGCGTGTGTGTGAGAGCGAGAGAGCGAATAAGACGATTGTTGTTGTTTCTTGAGAATCATATCTGTATTTTCACACCAAAGCTGTTTTGAATGTCACTTATTATCATGAAGTACTCTAGATACATTAATACATTTAATTGATTAATACAAAAGAAATTTTTTGTTTTTAAGTGTTTCTATGTATTAGAAGACAGTGTTTTGTGAAGTTGTAGGTAGAGAAGTTTTGTTTTGGGATTATTTTAGTTTCAATTCATAGCAATCACAAATAAGGTTAATCATCATTAAAATTTGTAAACTAGTCACTAATGATTTGCTTCATTTTGAATTCACATGGTTTTTCAATAATCGTAGCCTCGGTATACAACGATGAATTGAGCAAAGTTGTGAATATGAACCATTGGATAACGAACTCGACAATGGTCTAGATGTTACGTTCTCACTTAGATTCAATCCCTGGTGCGCTTGTTGTTACCACACTACTGATTAACAGTATGATGATGAGGGATTTTGGTGGAGTTTCTTCCTCAAAAAACGGCTATTCATGGAATTTCATCAAAATATATCAATCAAACTTATCAGGAAGAATGAAATCAAAAGTGTAAATCAACAAATAGATCATCCTGCTATATATAAAGGCTATATCGGAAATTACAACAAGATTATTGAAATTGGTTGGATTAGATGTAGTTCATAAGCTAGCTATGTTTTTTCGATCAAACCGAAGGATGAAATAACGAATGAAGAACAGCTAAATATCACTTGGAGAAATTGTTAAAACTTCAAAAAAAAAACATCGTACCGAGCAAACTGTAGCCTTTCTTCGTCTTCGTTTTTATGAACACCAACTAGCCTTCAAACGCTATGATGCACCTTCACATATATGAATTCAAGTAAACAATTGAGGAGATACGTTTCGCTGGGAAATTATTGAATTTTCGGTTAGAGGAGATACGATGACCAGAGGACTTTTAGAAGCTTGGGACCCAGGTCAATCACCGATAAATGATCTCATCAAAGTGGATCCAATTTATCGATAAATTTGAGAAATAATGGACCACTAATTAAGTCAAATGCAAAGACAATCAAAATAACTTCAGATAATCACAAGTTAAACATTAACAATAATCAATCAATATCGAGATCGACAGGAAAATCTGTTAGTCATATATGAAGAGTTTCAAATACCTTACTTCTATATGAAGTTTATACTCATAATTTTGATAGAGAACATGTACGGATCAACCTTATACCACCATTGAAAACCTGGAAGCACTGGACGGCCGTTTCGTTATAGAGTGGGATTCCTCAGCAGTGCACATGCACGATATTGCACGTGTGATTCAAACTCGGGACCTTCGGTTTTGCTAGCGAAAACTTAACCTCTACACCACTAAATCGGCATCGAACAGTGCTAATATCTAACTTCAACTAATCCACGATATTGTGTGACCATACTCCATTGTCTCCAATGGGTGACTGCCTCACACCAGACACGACTGAACTTCGCTGGTCACTGCTCCTTACTAGAACCCCAAGAAATCTAGTGAGCACATGATAATTATCATTATAAGGTTGTGGAGATTGTTGAGTTCAGATTGATATCATGAAGTGGTCGATGTTAGACCAACGTTGGATTCTAGCTTAGTGGCCCAGAGGTTGTGTTCGCGCGCAAGACTGGGCTGAAATCCCACATACGAGCTCGTAGATGCACACCTCTAAACAGGATTTTGCATACTAGAACGGAACGCCTGTCCAGTAATTCCAGGTTTTCAATAGTGATCTAACATTGATTCATTCATAATCTCAATCAAAACTCAACAATCTCCACAACCCTATACTGATACTTATAATTTTGTTTAAAAAAGACAATGGAACTTTCAAAACTAATCCATTCAGTTGACAAAACCAAACTTCACCCAAATCATCCACTTGAGCTTTAAATTTTCTTCATTGATTAGTCTTTAGGTTGATCTGTTGTTTTTGTTATTGTTAGATTTTTTGCTGAGTTCTTTTCATCGTCATGCAACATTTTATCATAATTCTTTTTAGTATAATCTTCATGGTTTCATCCATGTGTATCTTCTTTTTTCTTTCAAATCTAATTCATAGTTGAATGGACCATTGGATCATTCGAATTTCGATCGTTTCACAATGGATGAACAAGAAGCTCCAGATGAATTATCAGGATGGGATGCAAATTTTTAAAATTTATTTATAAATACGCACATACTTGTGCAGGTACACCTACACATACACACACATACACGCTGACATTCATCTTGTCTTTTTACTGTTTATAATTTGTTGAAAGCCAGAAAGGACCAATGAATGCATGAATGAAGTGATGAATGATTGAAGTACTGAATAAAACTGTACAATTATCTTACATTGTCTTCTTATCTCTCTCTCTCTTTCTCCTTCTCTCTCTCTTATCAATACTGTTATTTTGATCAAATGATACTGTAGATTAGTTTGTATTTAATGTGTGTATGTTGTTTTTTTTTACTAGATGGCCAACGTATAATACTTAACATTTAAGCTTGATGCGATCCATTTCCCCTCTTCTCTGTCTCTCTCTCTCTCTGTAATTATTTCCTGACATGAATTTTCAAGTATCGAATCGAATCCGTTACCAATATAAACTGTAAATTCTTGAGTATCTTCTATTACATGTATTTATGTGTAGGTCTCTAAGATCTATGCCTTAGTTTGCATGTATGTGTGTGTGCATGCGTTGTGTCTGTTTTCTTTTTCGTTGTTGTTGTCGGTCGACATGTCTGTATGTCTACTTTTTTTTTGAGTATCTAACAATATCATGGAAATAAGAAGAGAGTTATTTGTTTTATTTATTCATTTCTAAAAAAAAAATTATTTACATTAACATTACTGATTTTGGAGTTTTATTCATTCATTTGTTCATGAATATTAAATATAGAATAGCAACAAGAAAAGAAAGTGTGATAAGTGAATTTATTAAGAGAGATACTAAATAAATTGATCAATCAATTGATCATATTCCCCTTCCTCCTCCTCCTCCTCCCTCCATAAACGATAAAATTGTTTATTCTTCTCTTTTATTGTTTTTATCAATCAGTTATTTCGACTGATTCTTGTTGTTGTTGTTGTCGTCATCATCATCATCATCATCGTCGTGGTGGTTATTTTCAGAATATATATTTTTCTTTCTTGTTATACAAAATAAAAATAGATGATTACTATAATGTTGAAAATATGTGCCTCATTGTTGATGTTTTCTTCCACTTCTCTTCTTGATTTTCTCTCTTTCTTTGTTTACTTCTTTGTCTTCAATTCTATTCTAATGTGACATGATACTGCTGTTTTGATCACTGCTGACTTGTTTTTACATGATACATATACACACAAACACACATATACCTTTCTTTTTTTTAAAAAAAAAGATGAAGACAGAGCTTATTCATGTTTATCTATTTTCTTTTGTATGTATGTGTGTGTGCATAACAATGTTTACCAACAAGAACGAAACGTGAGATGATGACTGATTTTAGTTGACGGTTACGATTTTATTAGAAGAGAATGTAGATCATTATCATTGTGATTGAAATATAATAAGACATGGAATAAACCATGATTACCATTAATACTCTGGGTTTCCTTATTCTTATTGGTCATATATATATTGTATACATAGAGGAAGGGAGTGATTTTTCACGATTTTAAACATGAAAATTAACAAAGTAGAATAATTCTTCTTACTGATCATTCATATCGATGCTATTGTATACCTCTATCTGGCTATATCATTAATATAAGTTACATTCAGATTTTCCTATTTTATTCTTGAATATATTTTTCTTTTGTGAAACCCTGATACAGGTAGGTAGGTAAATAGGGATGTTTATACACATGCATGCATGAATGCCTCCGGAATCGATTCCGTCATTTCAATTTTTTCTCTCTCTCTCTCTCTGTATGTGTATGTATATGACATAACAAAACAGATGTAAAACAAGCGGAATAAAATATACAAAAAGATTTCGATTATTCCATTAGAATGATTATGTTTGTTCATCAGATGTGTTTGAATGATTTGTATAAATTCAATTATCTCAATAATATCATCTTTCCTATTATGTCTTGTTGGTGTTGTTACTGCTGTGTATTTATTATTATTTTTTTAAAAATTATAGTAATGATGGTCTGTGTAGGAGTTTTCATGAACTCCCTGAACCTGTCAATATAACTACTGGGAAAAAAAAGAATCATTCAGTAGTTACTTGTTTCATGAAGTATGTTGCTTTATTAGTTGGATGCGCTTTTTTCTGCGTTTGTTTGTTTGTTAACAATTCACTTTACATTGGATTTGATTAGTGTTATTATTGTCATTGGTGTGTTAATAGTTGCTTTTGGTCATCGATTTATTCAAATGATTCAATACTACTACTACTACTACTACTGCTGTTTTGTTAGTAGTAATTAACGTTCTGCTGTTATAACTTTTAATTAAATGATATGTGTTGTATATTCAAATTTTAATCAATTCTTTTTTCTCTTTTTCTTCTTTTCGAACTAACTATCATCTTGTTCACTAATTTTTATACAGTTTTGTTGTTGTTGTTGTTGTGTACTTCTATTTTTCATTCTAATTACAGGAGGTGAATGGGAACAATGAAGTATGTGATGAACCCTTTTGTTTTGTTTTTTATTGTTTTCTTTTTTCAACTGTTTTTTATTTTTTTTCTTTATTCATTTACATGAGAGGATTGTATGTGATATCCGTAGTTTATTCACTTATTCACTTCATTAATTCTCTTTCTGTGTATTTGGATTAAAAATTCAATAATTCTATTTCATCATTCATACTATAAAGTGGCAATGACATTTTGGTCATCATATAAATAAAATTAATAATAAATAGTGGAATAATTAATTATGAATAAATAAAATTAATACAATTTTGTTTTACAATTTATGATAGTTGTTTATGTTATACATTGTTGCTATGGTTTCCCCCCCTATTAAGATATGATGTAATGATACCGACAAATAGAGAACAGTGATCTATGGACCGGATCAATGATGCATAAAACCAGTACGAGCAATCTAGAGTCTTGATTGGTCCTGCTTCCTGCTTAGTTCTGCCTGCCTGTTAAGTTCAGAAGACTAATCTCAGCCTCTGCGATAGCAATTATGTATGCCAAAAATACTAGGATTTGTATACCAACCAAATAGACTAAATCGTACCATAAAATAGAAAATACACATTTGTACAAGATCTAGCCAAAAGTTTCTGTCAGTGTGGAAGACTGTAATTAATAGACTGGATATAGCTCAAGATTGGTGAATAGTATAATAATATCCACTTGGTATTGTTTGGCTTGTATCTTCCCATTGAGGTTTAAGACTGCAATTGATCAATCAAACAATACCAAGTAGATTTAAATTCACCCCGTTGCACAAGCAAGTGGCTGTCAGGACTCAGTAGCTGAGTGGATAACGCGATGGTGTTTGAAGCGAATGGTACTGGATATGAATCCCGGAGTGAACATCAACTCTGAGATGCAGGTACATCCAGCTGACGAGTTCCAAATAGGACGAAACGCGTATCCTGGATTCCACTGCTAGCCACTATCCATCATTGCTTACAAAATGGTATAATAATAGTTCATAGGTCAAAATAAAGCTAATAATAAGAGGAACACGAATATGAATAGTTTAGTCATTTAACAATTATACAATAGAAATGTACGCATAGTATTAGTCGATAAATGGATCCCAAAAGTTACCATTCATTATTCTCATCGGGCTATAACAGTTTATTCAGTACAATATTGGGACTAGATGTTTAAAGGTTAGGTTAATCGTTTGGCTACAAAACTGACCAGAGTTCCCTAGTTCGATCTCTGTTGGTGGTGTTGCAGTTATGAGTTTTTGAAGTGTCTCATATTAGCACGAAACAGTTTTCCGGTATTTTGTGATTTTTATTGATTGTTAAATCAAGATCATTTCATTATGTAAACATTTTCAATAGTAATAAGGATAAATTGAAATGATCATAAAAACTTTTGAACAAATAGTTTCATCAAAATTGAGCGCTGAGTTAATATAAAAGATTGAAAAGCAAACTATATTTGTAAAAACCAAAATAACTCCAGTGTTTCACTTGGAATTCAGATTCAATCTTTAGCAAAATAACCAAACATTTAAATGATCGAATATAAACGGAATTTAATAGTTGAATTCATGAAACAATTGAAGTTAGATCACCATGGAAAATATGGAAGTACTGGACGGCCGTTTCGTCCTAGTAGGGGAGTCATCCTTGAGAGTGCATATCCACGATCTCGCCTCGCGAGATTCGATCACAGGACCTATCGGTCTCGCGCACACGAACGCTTAACCATTAAACAATTGAATCGGCTTCTAAGTGTGTTGATGTCTAAATTCAACTAATCCACGAAGTTGCGCCATCGTCCAACATTGTCATCAGCGAGTTACTATCTCATAACAGACCTGGTTGAACTCCATTTGTCACTGCTTCTCACTAGAACTCCATGAACTACCTCTTGGAAACCGTCACTAGTGAGCAATGATTATTATAATCAAAGAGGGGTTTTGTGTATGTTATAGTAATGTAATAGTTGAGATCATGAGTCAATTGTAGCTAGACCACCATGGAAAACCTGAAAGCGCCACCATAAACAGAATTCACAAATTAACTGTCCAATCATATTGATAATGTCATTTGATGTAAAATGTGCGGATATTACGGTAAGATAAAAAGTATCTGTACTTCTCTGAAGATCTAATGTGTGGCGAATCACTGATAATATATATATAGGTTCAGTGATGAAATTACACTTTCTAACAGGTTGTAAATCAAGTTTGTCACAGCCTATATAAAAAATGAGAGTACATAAGTACAAATTTGTGTTGTGCTAAACGTGTTAACTGTTCATTGCATAACATTTAATCTGTGAATGCTATTTGTGTTCCATAATTTTGACATTTGATCATTTCTGTGAAGAAGCTTGGATAAGAATGCCGAGCGGAGTGTTGCCTGATTTAATTCCCCCACTAGTTTAGATAATCTATCGATATTCTATATAGAAACTGGATCATGTTATATCAGATACACAATTCGCAACCAAAAATAAGTAACCAGCGTATAGGCTAGATAATACTTTATTCAATAGAATTACGAGTAGTCTACACTCAGTGAATTC